GCTGCACACACACCACCACAGCTGCACACACACCACCACAGCTGCACACACACCGCCACAGCTGCATACACCACCACAGCTGCATACACAACCACAGCTGCATACACAACCACAGCTGCATACACAACCACAGCTGCACACACACAACCACAGCTGCACACACAACACCACAGCTGCACACAACACCACAGCTGCACACAACACCACAGCTGCACACCACCACAGCTGCATACACCACCACCACAGCTGCACACTACAACAGTCACTGGTGCTTCAGTTCTCATCATTTTAACAGAAGGAAACCTCCAGCAGAACCAGAACCAAGCTCAGGATGAGCGGCCGCTGCCTCGACTGGCTGGGGTTTAAGAGGACAGAGAAGACAAACGGAATATATGTTGCTAACACGGGTTGCTCCAAATACTGTAGTTAATGGGAATATTTCAAACGGTGCAGTCTGTTAGCTCTATTGAGGATCACTCTTTGCTACTACCACTCCAACTGTTAGCAAAATATTTGTTTTTAAGTCAGTTGGCTGTGGCAGCCATCGTGATTCGAGTTGATTGTAAAAGCTATTTTGTTGTAGTTGTACATCCAGTTGTTACATGAGATATTTTGCTAACAAACACACAGATACTGACACAAACACAGTTAGGTGTAATAAAACCCCAGAGCACTGGACAAGTCGTTTTGTGCATCTTTGGTGTTTAGTTTTCTGTCTGTGTTTGTTTTGAGAAATGAACGTCAGACCCCCCCCCCCCCACACACACACACACAGTTTTGGTCTGATGTTCCCGTGTGGTGCTCCTCAGGTGCTGCACAAGCGTGTCCCCTGCAGGACACGGGAGCAGAGTCTCTTTCTGACCGCTGTGGAAAACACGTGGATCCACGGACGACAGAAGAGGCGTGAGCAGAACCGTCAGCTGCGAGAGCTTCCCAGAGCGCCTCACTGTGCCGGAACCAGTTCTCAAACCAGCGTGGCCACGGCTGCTCCAGGAACTCCCGTTTCCTCCCAGAACCAGCCGGACCCCGCAGCAAACGATAACATCAGGACAACTCTGTCCTCAACTGAGACAAGGAAGGACGAAACAAGAAGCCCAGCTGGAGAACTAAAAGAGGTGTTAGAAACTGCAGCAGGTGAGATTGTGGGCATGGACGCCTCAACCAGCGCAGAAACTGGACAGGAACCAGACCTGAAGGACTCTCCCGCTGCTGCAGGTGATGCACACCCCGTACAGTCCCAGATCCACAGTGTTGAACACTTCCTGTTCAAGTGTGTGCTGAATGTGATTCCAGAGGAGAGAGACGTGGTCGTTGAGTTGCACTGGGTTGAAGGTCAGAACAAAGACCTGATGAACCAGCTGCGCACTTACCTGAGGAACACACTGTGGAAATCTGTAGCCTAGGTTCAATTTTCAGAAACAGGAGACCTGATTTTTGTATAGAAATACTCATTTTTAGCTGAGGTTTTCCTTTTTAAAAGTTTCTACACATATACCAGTACTTGTTTTATTTTGTTAGTTTCAATTTAAAGATTTTACACATGCAAAATGAATACTTTGTTCTAAAATTGTCCAAGCATTTGGAATAAATGTTCTTTTCCAAAAATGACACATTCACGTCATGTTTCTTATTGAAAATTTAATTACTGCAGTACCTAACAAGTCCACAACAGGGGGTGCGTGTTCCCCATCACAATGTCTTGTATGATGGCTTCTTTTTTCATTCAACCTTTATAAAGGTTAGACTCATTGAACTGCTTCTTCTTCTTTCATTTGGTATATTTTAATATGAATGTCAGACCCAGTCTTGTACAACTATATTTAAAATTCATACCCAGGACTTGTAACTAAAAGCTGCTGGAGTTACTCAGTTGTCCTGAACTTTCCAAGCTGTGATTTGAGTTTAGAGTAGAGTTAGGGATGAACTAGTGAATTCTGTTCATCACAAGGGTCAGAGATGAAAAGTCAATACAAGGTCCTGAAAAGGATGCAAGTGTAAGAGCCATACCTGGGGAAAGTTCAACAATGTTTCTCATTTTTCCTCCTTGAAGCTGCTGCATTAATGGAGCGACTCACTGATGCTTTCACCTCTGGCAACAGGCTATAAAGGTCATAAAGCTGTCAATGTTTATTTATTTTGTTAAGAGAATTTATTTTATTATTTTCCCCACATGTGCCTTTCCATCGTATCCATTTTTGTGTGTACATTTTTTTTTTTTCATTCAACCTTTATTTAGACCGGTAAATCCCATTATGCCTCGAGGACTCATTTACAAGAGAGACCTGATAACATTCCGGTGTTATCAGATGATCATATCTGATTGTATCAGATGATATGACATTCTTATTCTCTTCCTGTTTGAAGGCAACGTTACTCCAAATACATATTTTTAAATACGTGGTAAACTATAGAAAATTAAAATAATGATGAGTAGGAGGACCTCTCTGTGGCTAACTGGTTAAAGAGCAAGAGAACGGTTGCTAACGGTTTCAACCGTTGCTAGGGGGCCTGGGCTGGTTGCTAAGCGACAGAGAACCGATAATGGCGCAGCTGCTAGCTGCTAACAGCTAGCTAATATTTTTATTACGTCGCTCGGAGGAAGCGTAAGTTTTACGACCGTTACGGACGCACCAGCGCCGAGAGGGCTCTGGGACGCGCGCCTCGATTCGACAGTTCGAGGTGTGGACTGGGCTGTTCCATGTTTTGGCTTCCGCTCTCCCCCACACTGCTGCCTCTCAGGCTGGGAGGTTGGTCCCCCCCCCTGACACACACACCCTCTCTGTGGGCGGACACAAACGCTGCGTGATTCACATACTTGTTCGTACTACTTTGAGCGCCATTTTGTTTGTAACTCCTCTTCGTACGTGGGAGAGTTTTTGACCGAGGGAGGGTGTGAGGGCGACGGGGGGGTCCGGTTACCGTTTGTTTCATTTTTAGACAGGGAACTTCTCCCCGTACTGTAGCACACACACAGGCGCATTTCACGGTGCTGCTTTTCTCCGTAAAAGTACAGCCAGTCCTCCTCACTGGACAGACATGATGAGCATCGAAACGCTCCTGGAAGCTGCCAAGTATTTGGAACTACAAGCCCAGCATCAACAACAAAGAGCACGTGGTAAGTTTATATTTTATTACTTGAAACGTTACACTTTCCTTTGCACTATTCACAAACTGACTGTGCTTTAGATTTTCATTGAAAACGACGACAGTTGCGAGAAAGGACGCCCAGGAAGTTTCTCATTTTCGTTTTGGTGTGCGGATGATTTGGTTGGATTTGTTTACTTCACCTATTTTTGTCTTCTGGTTAATGGTTAAATATGAAACGTGCATGAATTTTGCTGCAGTGTCACCTCATTAATAAAACCCGATGCATGATTAAACCTACAGCAAAGCTACATGAACTTCTTGGGTCTGTCGCTACTTCTCTCTGTAGTTCGTAAAAGATGTGTTCTTTATAATCCAAGGACCGAAACATGGAGGGATAAGGGCGGTGGCACTGGGAATACCAAGCTTCTTTCTTTATAACGACCCGACAGGGACCAAGTGACTGCTTTACATATAATCTGTCCACCAGTGTTTAAACCGATTAGTTTTATTTTTACTGTCCCGTTGAATAGATGTTTCTGACTACTACTTTCTCGTCTAAAATTATTAAAACGGCTACAAACTCCTCCTTTCAGGCGCTCTTCGAGAGCTTTGAACGTCTCACGATGACGCGCATCAACAAAACACGCCCCCATATTTTAACCGTGGTTTTTACATTAGCCTGACTCCGCCTCTTTCACCACGTGCGTGCTTGGGCAGCTTCTCCCAAAGATCGTTTATTACGAAGATGAGTCATTACCGTGCTGTGTATAGGAGGGAGAAAAGCTCAACTAAAACGAGCCAGCCATCTAAATTACCATATTAACTTTAGTTGTAAAGTCTCTTTAAAACAGGCTGATTAGAAAGCTGTAAAATACAAATGCATTAAGAACTAAACATTACAGTCAAGTAAAAGCAGAAAAATAAACCAAAGAGCTAAAAAAAACATTTTAAATGTTTAAATTGTGAAATGCAAGTGAAAGCCGAGGATAGTGAGTTGTGATTTTTAAATTCTTAGTAGGTAGGGTGCACTTGAAGCTGGGGAAACTTTATACAAGACTAAAATACTTAATGTTCACAGTGGAGGTAAAAGTGGCTCGTATCTTTTTTTTTTTTTGCACATACAATCCCATTATTTTTCAAGTCAGACTTGGGTCATTTTCATGTGGTACTAAATCAAATACATATCCAGAGTTTTTCAAAGCAGCTGTAGTCTGTACAGTCATGTCGCTCTTCATCCAACTTTTCCATCACTGAAGTAAGGGTATGCAGATCAGTCCAAATAGTTTAGGATCAAATGGACAAAACCACCATGTTAGATAATACTTTAAGTGCAAAACATGAGAAACAATACACACATGCTAACGTGTAGCATCCGTATTTACTTATGTGAACACGGCATGTGGCGTGACGTCTTCTCCACATGTGGGTCACCTCAGAGCTGTAGACTGTTCACACTGGAGTCTGGTTATGGCCACATCCAAACAATAATTTGACTCAGCGCTCAAAAATCAGATCTGAGCAAAAGATCTGAACTGAGCGACGCGTTAAGATCTGCAGTGTGATCATAGACTGACAAACTGGTTCCAGCAGATTTTTGTATGACAGATGAAAGACTGGAGATCACACAGATAACAGGACTCACTGACTGAACACATAAAACTCCTGCCAGTGTGTCCATTTAAAGGCTCAACAATCAGCTAGCTGCTGTCTGCACCACCATCTGATCTTCTGATGTCATTTCCTGTGTCCCACCCTCTTGCTCTTATTGGCTGATGGCGACATGTGTTTTCAGTTTGGTTGGTAATCGGTCCACGCGGCCTGACGGTGTCCAGAATCAGCACCAGCTATTCAGACATGTTTGACTGCAAATAATGTTGGGTCGGGTCCGTTTCCCTCATACGTTGGTGGATTTTGTGCCAACTAGCTAGCTGACTGTGCCAAACTAGTGCAAACTTTACCCAACTGGGAATGGTGGGTAAAGTCTGACTAACAACATGATTAGTGTCCCCAGCTTTAGGGTCGCTGCTGCAAAGACAGCCCACTTTACCAATTCATCCGGAATGGAAATCAGCCGAAACCAGTCATTCAGAAGAGCCAAAAGATCTGGGATGAGAATAGGGCAGAACAGTTCAGATATTTTTATGTTAAACCACACAGTGATATGAAAACAAGTTGAAACATACACACAACATATCTATATTTATGAGGAGGTCAGTGGAGGCATTAAAGCAGGAGTGATGCAGCAGATGGGACAACAGGCACTGGCTAACAGAAAAACAATAATGGGCTAACGCTGTGGTAAGTATCTTTAACTCGTTATTAGAAACAAATAGTTTAAAAATGTTTCCTGGTTGTAAAAAATACATTAGAGTTGTGTATTATGTTTTCTATCACAGATCACAACTAAATTTCTCACACAAGCCTGAAGATTAAAGTCTTAAGTGGGGTGTCAAGTTTAGAGATATTTGGTGACGTGCTCAGATTTACTATCATTTAGGTAAAAATGGCTCATTTACCTCTTCTTCTAAACTCTTCATAGTTTAAGATTGATCAAATAAATGCAGTCAAGATTGTATAAATCTGTGTATTGTCTGAATCACATGAAATCCACATCACTAATAGAACTGGCCCCAGGATGGATCCTTGTGGAACTTTTTTTCTACTGCGGCTCTTGGAAGAGGAGACCTTTTCCATTTTAACAGAGAAAATCTGTAAAATATGACTCCCTGCCTGGTCCTGAAGGCAGTTTAAAGAAACCCCAGGGTCACAAGCTGCACTGAGGCCTTAAAGAACCGTCACATTCACTTTTTCTAAAGACTGACAAAATAAGACACTTGGAATATGAATTGTTTGAGAAAGTTTGTGTTTTTGTTGATCAAATCTCCCTCTTATTCCTGTATTTTACCATTATTCATTCAACCTTTTATTTAAACAGGTTAAACTCATTGAGCCTCGAGGACTCATTTACAAGAGAGGCCTGATTTCAACAAAGAGTGATGACAACAGTGGACAACAACGACAACTATAGACGATCATAAGAGGCATACAGATTTATTTATTTATTACAAATAAGATGGCAAAAAAGTAACAAAAACGGTTAATTATGAGGCGAATGTAGAAAACTAAAAACAGGAACATGTCTGCATTGGTCCCTGCCAAGAGTCCAACAGATTCTTAAAGCCACTTGGAGAGGTCAAGGTCGAGAGCTATTATTTACTATTTACTATTATTTACAGTATTGATTTGTACTTTTTAGGCCTTTAAGGTAAAACACAACACTATTTAATTTTTGTGAAACTAAGGAAGTGAAACTGTTAAGATACCAGTGCAGGCGTCACAGACCACCATGTCCAATGCTAGAGTTTACATCAGGACGTCCCCAGGCTTACAGACCAACATGACACCTTAGACTTTAAATAAACACAACGAATTATTTAAACTCTGTGCTGTTTTTTCATTTTCAATCATTTTATGTCCTGTATGCCAACATATTTTAGATGCATCGCCGATTGTGTTTTAAACATAGGGGGTCATCGGCAGTTCAGAAAAGTGTCAGAGTGAGTGCTCTGTCTGTTTTTCCTCTCTCTGCTGCAGCAGAGCAGGTCAGTGTGTGGATAAAAGTAGGCCATTGTCTCCAAGTGCTGCTGCAGTTATATAATGCCTCAGGTTTTTAAATGCTCAAAGGCACACACACATTAAATTTTATACATATAGCCAAAAAAAATTGCTGAGGGAACGTGTCATCTAATGCTAGAGGGACTCCTTGTTCTTTGTGTTTCTTTGAAGGAAAGTTGTTGGTTTGACCCGACATGTATAAACCTAAGGTGGCTTCTGTTTGTTTTAATCATTTAGAGCAGCAAAGCTTTTCTTTTCTTTTCTTTTTCTTTTTTTTTTGAAGGAACTGTCACAAATAATCCTTTGCTCAACAGGAAGCCCTGTTTATTGATTTTTAGCTGTAATAATTGAGCTAAATGATGTGTGAGATTGGAGATGCAGGGCTTTAACGTTTCTGAACTTTGAACTCTTATCAGCTAAAAAAAAAAAAACGCAATTTTGGTATATTTTACTCAGCAGGGTGCTGTGTGGAAAAATGTTTCTTACAGACTACAGTGTCCAGGATGAATTATCTTTAATGCTCCTCCATTAAAACAAACACTTCCATCTTTTTCAGTCCACTGATGATTTCTCAAACCTAATAACGTACACGCCGTTTTTTGTTGCTAAGATTCAGACATAAAGAGCTGGCATTAGTGTAAATATGAATGTATTTAATCTCCAAATGAAGAAGCACTCAGAAGCTGCCGTTAGACAATCATCTGTGTTTTTATTCATTCTGTCTCAAGCTGCTGCCTCTGAGATCATCTAACAGAAGGTCTAGGTGAAATACTTTCCTGCTGCCTCGAGCAGAAACTCACAACTTTAAATGTGACATGTTTTACGTGCTGATTTACGTACTTGTTTAGAGTAAAAATACACGTTGGGGTGTTTGCGTTACTCCAGATGTTTGGTTTTCGTTCATGCTGGAAGCCTGAACTGCATTTTGTTTCCTTTCGTCCACAGAGAATGAACTGAAGGAGAAGCTCCGCCTGCAGCAGAAGACGGAGTATATTCACCCTGATGGGAGCTACACCCCAACACCCCACATCAACAATGTTTCTAAAGCAGAAGAGCCTTGCACTGAGTCCCGCCCGGCACCCGTGCCACCCTCCCTGCCTCCCCCTTCCGTGCCTGTCACAGTCGACCCTCTCCCCGTCGTCACCCCCAACCCTGCAGCTCCACCCACACAGCCCATGGCCACGCTTTCACCTCCAGCTGCTCCTTCACTTGCCTCCCCTCAGAGAGACCATCACGCCCCTCACGAGCAAAGCGCTGCAGCTGCGTTGTGCTCCCCACCACCCAAAACGGACCACACGGCCTCTAAAGTGACCACCAACCACAGGCAGAACCACCACCATCACCCACAGCTCGCTGACCCAACCAGCAACATTAAACCACTTCAGCAGACACCCCAGCCGCTGGTTCGGTGCTATCCTGGTTCAGTCATCTCAGTCCCACAGCACCACGCCTTACTGCCCCATCCGGGCCCTGCACTTCAACCTGCTCCTCTTCAGAACGGCCCCATCAGCCAGGGCAGTCCTCCTGATGACAGCCGCCAGCTGGACAACAAGAAGAGGCCGGGGGGGTACGTCAGAACCAGTTAACTCATCAACACACAGGACAGGGCTGCACAAAACCATTCATGTTTTCCATTGATGGTCCTTCACTGTAAACTTTAAAGACCGGCACAATGTGGTCCCTGCTTCGTCAGTAGTGGTGTTATATGCTATAAATACGTTCAAGACATTAATTTGAGTCTTTTTGATCATTTAGATGTTTTTCATGTAAACTTTCTCTGTATTAAGTCAAGTCGGTGTTAAAACTCATTTAAACATCAAACTGTGTAGAAACAGGAATGTTTAGATCCTTTAATTCTGATGATTCTTCTCCCTCTTGGACATTAAGTTAGTTTCTGTCTTCTTGTAGGGCGGGCACGAGAGAAGTGCACAACAAGCTGGAGAAGAACAGGTGAGATGACCTCGTGTGTTTCAGGAACACTGCAGCAGTTCCCTCACGCTGGAGCTCGTCGTCATAAATAAATGGAATCCCGTTTCTCCTCTTGTTTGAACCCTGATCTCTGTCTGCCAGGAGGGCTCACCTGAAGGAGTGCTTCGAGACGCTGAAGAAGAACATCCCAAACATCGACGAGAAGAAAACCTCCAACCTGAGCGTGCTGAGAAGCGCTCTGAGATACATTCAGGTGAGGGTGGAGCTGCAGTTCACCTCCACGTGCTCTTCTCGTTTCTATTGGGTCACGTTCGTTTTGCGGCTTCAGCTCAGGCGTCTGTTGCGTCTCTTTAGGGACACATTTGAAGCAGCCTTTTCAGAACGTTCATCACGTTTGTGTAGCTTGCCAGGTACGTGTTTATTAGTGCTCAGGTTTGCTACAAAACGATGTAACGTCCCTGTTCTTTAAACTGCAGCATCAGGAGGGGCAGGACAAAAGCTGGTTTCTGTGAGTCCCATGTGATGCCTCTCGTCGTTCCTGTCAGAGCAGCAAGACCAGAAGATTATTTGTGTGTGTGTGTTCTCTTGTCATTTAGTTTAATCTGTGCTCCAGTTGAACAGCCAGCACATGACTCACCGTGCGCTACACTCAGGCTGTTGCTGTAAACCGTCGGTACAAAGGTCCATCTCTGGCCCAGTTTGTAAACGTTTAAAATCGAAGGGGACGACGTGCTGCTGACGCTCGGAGAAGCTGCACTCTGCTCGTGGACACTCAGGGGGGGGACTAGAACAGCATGTGCTCACAGCTCAGCGTCCCTCCAAACACCCCTCTCTGAGGGTTTATCATGTTGCTGCGTTTAGTTAAAGACTGTAAACAGTTCAAGTATTGTAGGTCACAAACGTCTCGCTGCTTTTCTGTTTGTGCTCGTTGTTTTGTCACAAAGGCTTTTTTTCCACTGACTGCTGGTGAAGAGACAGGAAGTGAAGGAAACAAGAAAAACGTGAACGGTCATATTTCGACACCGCTGATGCAGACGTGCGTCCTGCCTGTGTTTGTCTCTCCCCGCCCCTGTCCTCGTCCTCCTCGGCTGCCAGCGGGAGGACGAGGATGGGGCGGAGCAGCCCCCCCCAGCTCAGAACAGGGACACATAGTGAGAGGCTGTAGACACAGCAGCTCGTTTCATTTATATTACATGTTCATTTGTCGATGAAAGTACAAACCTGAGCTTCCTCGTCACGTCCTGCCTCAGACTCAGAACTGAGGAAAGATGAAACCTCAGGGCAGGTTCTTTAACAAAACTACACTTTTTATTTGCTGCTTTCTGCTCCTGGATGTTTTCTTGTGAGTCTGCAGCGTAGAAAGCTGAGAATTGTAAAGTAAGCCGATGCATTAGCGCGCGTCCTCTCCCCCTCCCCTGCTCCCCACCGAGCTGTTTTAAGGCCACATGAGCAGCGAGCACATGGCTAGCCTGAGCCGCTGAGACGTCACTCCCCCATGCTGGGCCCCCGCCCAGCTCTGCAACAGGCAGGACTCGCTGCACAGCGAGGAGCGCTAAGCACGCGGCTCGGTTTACTCCACCTTCATTTCCCTCCCTGACCCAACTTGTTCCTCCACCACTCCATTCCAAACACCAACCTGAAATCTCTAATGAAGTGAAAACACAGTAAATATGGACCTGTTACTATTTTTAGAACAGCCCTTTCTGATGAAATCTTGTTTTAACACTTTGTATTAATTCAGCTTCAAATAATAATAGTTTTTATATTATTTGACATATTACGCAGCATTGGCTTCTTTGAGTAAATTCTGAAGCAGCACCGCAGCAGAAATGTTTTCCATCACAACAAGACAGCTAATGTAAGTCGTTCTGGATCTATAACCCCTCGGTTCTGAATAAGATGAGGTAATTGGGCCAGCTATGACTTAAGCGTTGCACACAAGGAACGAGTGGTTTGTTTTTCCCACAAACAAGCCTCTGATTGTTGGAGTCAGGCACCACGTGAAACTCTGTTCCAGCCTGAAGGCAGAGCGGGACAAAGGTTTATGGTTTCTCAAGTGTCACAAGACCTGTAAGCAGAAGTCCGCTCGGTCAGCCGGGCTCAGCAGCATGTCTGCAACGTGGCCTCTGGTGCTCCTGGCCCTTTAAGAAAACCCTGCAGAAGTGAGTCAGTGAGTACAGCTTGTATCCTCCCTTTCAAACACCCCCCCACCCCCTTTGTGGGGCCATGTGCTCAGCGCTCGCATTGCTTGTTACAGCGGTGTTTAACACACACACACATACACACACACACAGAGTTCAGTGTATCTCTGTGTTAATCTAGATGTTCACACACACACACACACACAAGCGGAGCCTGGGAGGAGGAGCGTGGCCATGTGCACAGAATCTAAAGGTTGTCGGCACCTTGTGTGCCATCGACCTGCTGGCATGATGAACATGTAACAAAGTCATGTGACCCATCTGCTGCACACTTACATGACAGCTTTATGTGGTATTAGCTGTTGGCGCTCTCCACCATCGCACTGAGTTTAGTGGCTCTGGAGATCTGGGAGCGTCCCCCCCCCCCCCCCCCCCGTTCCTGCTCTCACTGAGTCACAGCACGTAGTGTCATGGCGTGCTGCGACTCACGAAAGGCTGCGTGAGCGTGACAACACAGCAGCCAGATCTACCTGAGCAGAGCGTCGCCTTTTTTGTTTTAGAATCTATGTTTGCATCTCGACACGCGGTCAGGAATCTGTGGCACATGAAGAAAACCTTTTCAGCGGTTTCCCTGGCAACCAAAGCTGGGACACATCAGGGCGCTGTGTTGGGACAGTCTGTGTTACAGACTGATGTGTGGAGCTTCACAGCTGATGTTCACGAACCACACATCTGTTCTAGATGCCGGAGTGTTTGATAAGTAATGCGTCATCAATGATGATCAGGTTATGAACAATTAATATCTTACTTGTTGCAGATAACTAGCCAACAGCTAGTCTGAACAACTTCAGTCTTCATCGCAGTTCTTTCAAACATTAATTTTAAATCTTTACAACACTCAGTTGCACATTTCTTGTGTATTTATACAGAAGCCTGTCGTTTCTTTGTAAACACAGCAGCATCTAGCTGTAGCACTTCCAGCAGAATAAACATGTAATGTTGCACTAACAGCCGAGTGAAGATTTATAAATTATAAGATTGGAGTGGTTTTTAGATGATGTTCCACTTTGAGCTCAACTCTGCTCAAACTTGTGGTTCGCTCCTCAATCTGATCAGAGTTCAACTCCGTCTCCAAACTGAGGCCGAGTTATCTACGACAGGTAAGATATTAATTACCACGTGTCCACAAAACGATCTGAACTCACACTTTAGACGTTAAAATGTAGTTCTGATCCACATCGTGTTTCTATGAGAGAAGAGATTTAACGTTTGATTTCCATGTTTGTGGTTCAGGAACGATGTGAAGCTTGAACTCTGATTTGATGGTTCATATCTAGAAACCCAGACTGAAAGTGGAACAAGAACCATTAAATCATCTGTCAAAGTGCAAAGCTTAAATGTTCCTGTCACTGTATTTTAGTTAGTACAATAAAAAAGGATGGCAGCATGTCAGACTGACACACCTGCAGTGTTAACGCACAGAGAGCTTGTCCCGTTCATTTCTAATCCTGGATCAGCACTCAGAGACAGGTGTGGTATCACACATGGGCCGCCTTTTGTCCTCCTTCTATTTCTGAATGTGTGCATTGTGCTGTTCTGCATGGAACATGCTAAACCTCACCCTTCAACATACGTGGAGCCAAACGCCACACCATTAAACACACGGACATTAATATGAGACGGGCGAGCGAGAAGTGCAGCCTTTGAGAAAACAGCTTTATGATGTGGAGTCATCAGGTTTCAGTCACTCCCTCAGCGTGTCGGATCAACTGCCTGAGCATGTAGTAAACATGTAGTAAACATGTAGAATCAGTTTTGTTGCTGTTTATCTGTGGAATAGAAAATGCCTTGGTCTGTACGGTCCTCCAGTAGTCATGCTCAGTCAGCTGGTGAGGGCAAACTGGGTCAGAGCCACTTCCAAGAAGGCCCTCCTACTTTCCTCATCTTCTTCCCCCTCCTTGTTTTAGCCTGTAGCTCCGTCTCTTTAACCCCCCCACCCCACCGAACAAGCTGCTCTCTGGGTTTACGACAGAATTTGTTTGACATGTTTGTAATTAACATTCAGCGTTTTGTAACATTTAACTTGTCACTTTGAGCAAACTGGTACCATTTAGTACAATAATGAGAGAAACGGCGCTAAATATTAACAAATCATTTTTACTGAATACATAAGTGTAAATTTGGAACATTTACTAAAAATCCAGATTGAGGTTTAATCTGCAAGCAAGGCAGTCAGACATGACAGATTTCCACCACAGATGAAGAGACGCCACTGTTTAACAATCTAATTCTTTTATTTACCGTCGCTCCTACAGAGACCTTCATGAAGTTACAGAGGAGGTTCAGGGGGACTGTAGTCCTCACACCGACTCTTGTCACAGTGGAGGAACTACAGAAAACTAAATCTGTTTTGTGTTTGATCTCCCTCCAGACACTGAAGCGTAAAGAGAAGGAATACGAGCACGACATGGAGCGACTGGCCAGAGAGAAGATCGCCACCCAGCAGCGGCTGGCGGAGCTGAAAAACGAGCTGAGCCAGTGGATGGATGTCATCGAGATCGACAGAGTCCTCCGACAGACGGTGCAACCGGAGGAGGACCAGGCTTCAACGTCCACAGCATCAGGTGGGTGGATTGTGTGGGACTTTACGGTCCGTCCGAACAGCATGACAGATCTTTTTCATCTTCCTGACGTCAGACATGAAGGAGGGAGTTTTGGCTCTTTAGCAACAAATCTGCTTATATTTGAAATCTTCTGTACTCCAGAGGGTGAAGACGTGATGGAGGAGGACCTGGATGAAGAGACGACACACAGAGCACCATCCGCCTCACCCCCTGCACCTCATAATATGAAACCTGAGCTGAACAAAACTGCAGCACAGAGTCCAACTCCACCTGCAGCAGCTGCTGTCTCTACCTCCATCATCACTCAGCGCATCATCCCAAACAGAACCTCTCTGCCACCTTCAGCTCCCACATCCACCCCTCAGCCACCCATCTTCACCCAAACACCCAGTCTACATCCTACAGTCATCGCCCATGCTTCAGTGTCCCACCCTTCGGTCATTCAGACACTGAACCACATCATCCACAGAGGGGGACCTAAACACGTAGCCCACCTGGCTCCTTCCACCACCTCCACCGGCTCTGTGCAGCTGGCCTCCACTCATCACCCCATCAGCCACATCACTGTACACCCAGTGGCTCACCTGAGCCCCCATATACCCGCCCTATACCCCCAACCAGTGGCTGTTACCCAGCCGGCTGTGGTGGGTCACATCACTCACACTCTAAGCCACGCCCACATGAACGGCACATCTCCAACCCAGGCGGCCGCCGCCATCGTCGGTAAGCAGGGAGTGGTGATGGCACACCACCCGCAGCTAGTAGGTCAGGCGGTGCTTAACCCCGTCACCATGGTAACCATGCCCTCCTTCCCCATCAGTACTCTGAAGCTGGCCTGAGCTTTGGCATCAGAACTGCAGGACACAAACAGGAAGAGGTCCAGGTCAGGGGGTGGGTGGGAGCGCCACCATCATTCAGACACAGTGAACAAAAACCTGAAGATGTGACCCTGAAGTGAGGAGGAAGCAGACTGGGGGCAGACGGGCCGTTTTAAAGCCTCACTACTTGTTCAGACGGAGGCACTGGTTTGACAGAAACATGCAGACAGAGCCGGATCAGAGTTGGACCTCCAGTCTGCTGAGACTGATGTAGCGCAGCTCCTCCTCCCCGGACTGGAACTAAATCACGGACCGGACTACAAAACCTCCCCGCCCCACTGGAGGTGCCGTCATCGGTGATGTGCACGGAGTAACAGCACCACCTCCTGACTGTTTCTAGTCAACATACCAGTGAGGGGAAAATGTTCAGACATGTTGAATTACCGTACGGTTCTGTCGGGTTCATTTTGACAATCTAATTTCCCTCCTGTTACCTCAAACCAAACAAACTGGTGACTAACAAACAGTGAAGGAGAAGGGCCGAGTTCTCCACGCTGCTACTAGATTATTATTTTTTGCCAAATGATTTATTTCACATTAACACTCAAAGGGAGGTTCAGATGATTTTCAGAGTCTGAGATAAATTTAGGCTCAGAGTTAAAAACACGTTTAGATTGTGTGAATATTAGTACAAACTGGTCCATAATATCTGTTGTGTATTTGTATAATGTGCTTGTGTTCAGTCCTCAGAGTGTGTGTTCAGATGAATGTGTGTATGAACTTCACGTTGCTGCAGAAATGTGCTGGAGTTTTGGTTCAAAGTGACTTTAACCACAAACGCATCGAGAAATGTTTGTAAGTTCAGTGAGTCGGGTGGTGAAGCGTGCACTGTGACTGAACACGGTTTGATCTCAGCACCTTGAGCTGGACTCCTGAATGAATGTACCGACGCACTCCACTGATACTGAACTCTTTCACCGGTTAAACATTATTAAAGTCAAGAGCAACATTTATAGATAAATGTGTTTTTTTAAATTCATACTGTCGCTCGTTTCGTTTTAGTTTTCCTCTGTGGGACCACGAACACGGCCGTATCTAACCGGGTGACAGATCATATCCCAACACTAAATACATGTTCCCTTTGTGTGTGTTTACAATCACAGCAGGGACAAAATCAATCTTATTCCCACTGTTTTATCAAGAGATACTGGTCTATTATATTTTAAAAATTGTGTTTCAGCTAATCGGATTATAAAAACCTGTTCAAATACACTTGAAGCAACAGTGTGTTGATGTGATTTTCCCTATGGAGAAAGTTTAAGCTGTATATAACCTGTAATTGTTGGACTGCTTATAGATTGAACTGTTACGTTAAGAAAACAACTGGAGAATACATCAGACTCAAAATTTATAATAAAGAGAATAAATTCTATTATGTTTACAAACAACTTGCTTTCATTGTGATCCTTTTACTGAAGAAAATGCCAAGTAATGTTTTATCTGTGCAAAGTCACCGAGTTAATGAAACGATATAAAATAAAACTGATTCAAAACTATAAGACAGAGATGAAACTCCTGGTGTAAAGAGTTTTCAAAGGCTTCAAGATTTGGTGCAACGATGAAGAGAAGCTGAAGGCACAGCTCGTCCTACATCCTGGACCAGCTCGATCGGGACAGAATAAAAAGTTAACAGTAAAACGTCCTACCTGCAGTAAAGCACGGTGGAGGACTGATCATGCTGTGGAGCTGAAACTGGAAGCCATTTTCAAAGGCACGTTGAAATCCATGAGTTATTTCTTTAAACACAAGGTGTTAAAACCGGGTCAGGTCATTCAAATGACACTTCAGACGGCATGAGGGAAATTTAAAAAACATGAGCTGGTCTGAACCTGCCTGCGATGAGCCCTGGACTCAGAACCACTGAACATTTGGAGAGCAGAAACCTGTGATTTACAACAAATAGACTCCTGTGAATTTAACAGCTCAGGAGGGAGCCGAGTAAAATCAGCCCAACGACGGGCCCCACTGAACAGAACAAAAGCAGCTGAAAGTTTCTGTCGTGGTGCAGCAATGATACATGTTTCATGAACCGGTTCCATCATGCATGTTTAAAGTAACTATCTTTTAATGAGTTCAACAATAAATGTTTACACACGTTAACTTGATAAGAACCAGCAGAAATCAAAGCTCATGAGGAAAAGAAACTTACTTTTCTCCTGCCGGGTGTTCGTCCACAGTCAGAGGCTCGAGCTCGTCTGGAGTCCAGAGGAAAACGCTTCAGTTTTAGATGAATTGTGTTTAAACAATAAAATATAAAACCACGACTGAGGCTGAAATTATATAAATTTTTTTATTTTATAACAATATAACTGTTGAATTATTACATCCTTTGTACGCTTTCCTCTTTACAATCATTCAGTTTGTAAATTCAATACATAAATATAATCCAAAAAACATGAAATTAAAAGATTTAGTATAAAACAAGTTCAGAAACAGAAATAATACCCGACTGAAGGAATGTGTTTTTTTTTTCTTCTTCGTTTTAAGCAAAATTCACAGAAGCAAGAGGAAAGTCATTTCAATCATTCTTAATAAGAAACAAAATTACAAACAGTTTTAAGAATAAATCAAAACTTCTGCTGGTGTTAAATCAGCACTGATCGAACAGAGAAAAACATAAAATAAAATAAAAATCTCCTGCTCTTTTCATAATCTCTCAAACACGCTAATAATCTTAGAGCCATTAAACTAATCCGTGGACCGAGTTATAAAAAGAACATGCAAAAATAAATACACCCTCTACTGATGCAGCCCCACTCCTCTCAGTCGGGTCCGTTTGGATCCTGGGCCAACGTTGCTACACGTTTACTTCGGGGACATATTATTATTATTTTTATTGCAAAGTTATTTAAAAGGCGTGCTGTCTGCTGACGTGAGGCGAGTCATGGCTGACCAACATTAAGGACGAACATCCATGAAGTCAGGCAGCAGGTGGTAAATATAACAAAACACGTGCACACAAAAATAACACGGAGAGAAACAAACCCGTCAGTAGAAAGAAAGATTATAATCTATATAATCCATAGAAGGCCAAGCAGCTTGGCTGATTAAATAAAACCAGGAACATGAATAAGACTCGGACACAGAGAATTAAACTATATGTTCATCAGGTTGATCATTGGAGAAAATAAAAACATAGAAAAGAGTGCTTAAATATGAACACGTCACCAGTAAATTAATGTGAATCTCATCCAACCCCCCCACTCCAAGCAGAGGGGGGGATGTTTCTGAGGAGAACAGCCCGAGTCGTCACGTCTTACCGCCTCGTCGGGGGTCCGTGCGGCTGAGTGAGGAGTGGTCGATGTTCAGGAGTTTATTTTGTTGTTGGAGGTCCTTCGTTAATGTCCGTCGTTCTGAGTGACCATATGATCCTGGATCCTCTGCAGCATCTCCTGCATCCGCCGCAGCTGTGACGAGAGAGGAGGAGGGTTTTAGTGACGAAGCGACACGTGAACCTTTAAGGTCTGCGCACGTCAGCCGGCTGCGCAGGCGTTCATCTGGGTTCATTATTTCAACACGATCGATAACACCACAGACGTCACGTGGTCTGTGAAGATCATGTGACCTGGAGGCTGCGGCTCCTCCACCGCAGACAGACTGCAGCAACGTTTTAATCATAGTAAGACCACTAGCTGTCATTTTATGTTGACAACCAGCTTTAATTCTGAACAAGTGTCAAGATTAAATTTTGTGTTATAAAGTAATTTAATCTGATTCCCCTTAATTCTAAACTCAAAGTGATGGTATATTCTTACAGTAACATCTCCTTGTTTAACTGAATCTTTGTTTTATTACACAAAAAAATAAACCCAGCTGATGTAAAAAGCATTTATTTAAATAAATAGTTTGCAGGGTTAGGTGGGGGAGGAGAAGGATGATGAAACAATTATTTACTATTTAATCCGACAGCATCGCACCGCGGTGAAGACAAAAACATCTCAGTCAAACTATACCGAACTCTAACTCGTTTATTAATCAGGGTGAAAGACGCTGAATGTCTCAGAAGTTGTTAGTAATAAAGTTTTACTTCTACACTTGTGAGGAGAAACTAATCGCGCTGCAGCTCAGTCTACATTAGGGGTCTGCAACCTGCGGCTCTGGAGCTACTTGCGGCTCCTTCAAGCTTTGACCAAAACTGACATAAAACTGAATCTTATTGGTTGTTGTACAAACAACAAAAATTAGTTCAAGCTGTTTTTCTGTCATTTCTTTTGCAAACATGTCAACACTGGAACAAGTACAAGCAGTAAAACATACTCACTTTAATTTTATGCTTTATTTCTATACTTATTTTTTCCACAATTAAAAAAATACATAGGTCATCATAGTTCATAGCTTTTTTAATTAATTATTAGTTAATAATTAATTATTATATCATTAAAAATAATTAAAATTATTCATTAATTAAAAAAAATCTTTAGGCAAATAGTGTTAAATTATTGTTTTTATATGAATGTTTCTGTTCAGTGCCCTGAGATTACTTTTGTTGGGACTTAGCGTTATATAAATACATTTAATTTAATAATTTAATAAAACTAACCCCCTCTTTACAAGAATGATCTGGTCTTTTCATTCATCTTAAATTGTAAAAATATAAATTATTATATATTTTTAGCTTTTTAATGTCACCACTAGTGGCCCTTGCAACAAACCTAAGGAGGCCCATGGGCCACCAGTTGATGATCACAGTTGTAGCAGGTTGTTGCAGCTCTGAACACTTTTCATTTAGTGAACGAAGGTGTAAAATGGCTCTTTTGATCTCAAAGTTTGCAGACCCCTGGTCTAGCTGATGTGACTTCACCTGTTGTTTTCACGTCAGAATAAATCTCTGAAACTTCAAACATTTTGCTGTAAAAGTCTGAAACACAGCTTCATGTCTGGACACACCACTGAGCGTCCTCCAGCTTTAAAAACAACAACATAAATAAGTCGGGGGTAAAGAAGAACAAAAAGAGACGTCCGAGTGTCTCTGAAAGTCAAAGACGCTCTCCGTCATCTTTCTGCTCTTTGGACGGAGCCTCGGAGCGCTCGTGCTGCTCAGACTCGTGCTCGTGATGCGACTCTGGCTCGTGGTCGGCCTGCCGTACCTCCTCGTCTTTCTCTCGGATGAGCTTCTCTGTCTCGCTCTCCGTCGCTCCTTGGATCATGGGGAAGTCGGTGCCGCTCTCTCTGGTCAGTTTGCTGCAGACAAACAGAAACAGTTTGTATCTGCAGCTGCTCTCTGTTCGAACACTTGACACCAGAGTTATTAAAACAAAAACACTTATCTACAGTCTTTGTCTTCTTAACAACACTTCCAAATAATGTGTGTGTGTGTGAACATACTTGCGGTTGCGCTCCTTCACAACCATGCGCGTCATGCTCTGGATGCACTGAGCTCTGTAGTTCTCGTAGTGGGTCTCCCGGGTCACGTCCTTCAGGTCTTGCATGTGAGTGCGAACGAGCATGTTCCTCAGCTTAATGAAGTCGCAGTGCGCCGTGTTCTCCACTGAAACGCAGAACGCTCACTTTTAAAACTCCACGAGTGCTGTGCTTGTACGTTCTGCATCTGTAAACATCTCTTTGTTTGAATTGCTGTCACACCTTCTACGATGCCCCAGGGATAGAGACGTCCTCGGACCCTCTTCCCTTTGGCCTCCACCACCGTGTTGCTGCCAATCACAGCGAAGGGAATGCTCTCCTTAAAGACGGAACAGAAAGGATCCAAGAATGAGTAAAATGTCCCAACAGCATCGGAGGGACAGGTTTCACACGGACTGTTCTGAAAGCTGCAACATAAAGTCTTCCCCAGTTTGGATCATCGCTCTCTTAAAGAAACTGAATGAACTTGTTTTTGTTTTGTGGACGACCCAGTCACCAAACTAAACCTTTCGTTCTGGTTTTAGTTCTTTCTGTGTGCAGCTGTGGTCAGAAAAGACAGCATGGTGAAGTGTTGAAGGCTCTGGATGCCCAGGTTAGGTTGGGTAATAACTTCAGTAAACAAACAAACATGACCAGGTTGAGACCAGCCCACTCGCTTGGCATTTTCAAATAAACAGAATAATTGTTTGAGTGGTCCCTGGTCCAGTTTTAGATACATGCTGGTTTGTTTTTCACAAGCCAGTATAGTTTGTGCTGCTTCAAACTGGGAGCTCTGTTCACCTTCAGCTGCAGATCTTGCTGCTTGAACTCTTCGTCTTCGTCCGAGTCGCAGTCGGGGAACTCGTAGATCTTGATGCCGTACTGCTCAATCTCCTCTCTGATCTGCAGAGACCGGAACAGACACTTTGAACATAAAACCACGACAAACCCACAAGAGCAGTTCGTTGATTCGGAGACGTCTTACCTTGATTTTCTTTTTCTTCACCTCATTCGGGGTGAGTGTGTCTGCTTTGGCTAAGACGGGGACGATGTTGACCTTCTCGTGCAGAGCCTTCATAAATTCAACATCCAGAGGCCGAAGGCTGGAAGAGACGGAAAACTCTCATTCATAAAGGACGCAGGGACACGACACAAAAAACAAAACAAAACAAAAAAACCACTGAAAAGTTTTAATTAAATGAAATACTGTGCTTTTCTACGTGAATGTGCACTGTCACAGAAGATGACTATACAGTAGACCCTCGTTTATCACGGGAGATCCGTACCCTGAATACCTGCGATAAGTGAAAAACAGTGTAGTACTACAAGTAGACCTGTCACGATAACAAATGTTATTGGGCAAAAAAAATATTTCTCAGAAATTATTGCGATAAACAGTAATATTGTTTGAAATTTGACAATAATTAGTAATTATTGTCAAATTTAAGAAGAAATGTTTGTTAATTTGTTTTACATGTAGTACCTTTTTTGACCACAGTATAAACCTGTTTGAACCGAAGGATGGATAGTGAGGGAGCGAGCAGCGTCTCTCTTTAAGAAAAATGGGAGGGAGGCCCCTTGACATGACATGGGCTGTCTCTCTTAGGTTCTCAAAATGTCAGAAGCTCGGTGTGGTTTGAGCTCTTTAGCATAGCGTTTGTCACACAAAGCTTTTAATAAAAAAAATTAAACAAGTTCTCAGCTTTGTTTTGCAGAAAAAAACCCTACTTTTTAGACAAAGGCACGAGTTTCAACCGTGAATTTTGGAGCTTCGACAAGACGGAGATTTTTTCCGAGGTTAGCCTGTTAGCTTAGCTCATAGCTTAGCTTCTCAGCTTAGCTGCTTTTAACGATCCAAACATGTGATTATGGACGGTTAAAAAGGATTTTAAAGAGAAAAGAGAAAGGGATGGGTCAGTGAAGAGAACTGGAGTTGAGCCTTTTGTCATCCAGTGTCTTCAGTAGAAAGAGAGAGACACGAAGAAACGATAAAGCTGATAAATGAAAATGAGGTCAATAATTTTCATTTATCATGCGATTAATTGATTTATTGTTTATTGCGACAGGCCTAAGTACAAGTAGTAAGCAGTAGTTTATTTTTGTATTTATATATAAAAGCATTTTAATGCAATATTCTAAAGAATGTTTCTGAACTCTAAACGCCCACTTCTCCGCTCTGCATGGAGAACGGCTGACCAGCTGCAGGAGGAAGCTTATCCTGCAGTGTTGGCTGCACAAAGGTGCAGGAGGTGCTAAATAATTTAAAATCATTTATTTTAAATTAAAATTCTGTGCCGATCGTGCGGCTCCTCCATCGATCAGACAATTTTGTGTCATGTCCACTCTTATTTTGAAAAACTGCAATATAGCAATTCTGCATAAAACAAACCACGAAGTAGCGAGGGACTACTGTAATTAGATAATTAGGTGAGAAACTGTTACATGCACCACGTGTAATGAGCTTTAAAAGATTTAAATACATTTAACAGACATGGTGTGACTCAGCGCAGTATTACTGAAACTTGAATTCATCCATCAGCAGTGAATAAATGTGTCATACATGGTGTGATACTAAAACAACAAAGCTGATCTGTAAATGTTGGAAGGCACCCTGAGGATTTCATTTCACGAAGATTCAAAGCTGCTAACAGTGACCTGACTGTATCTGATGTGTGATGGCAGAGGGTGACCGACAGAGAGAGCAGTTTCTTCACCAGCTCTGCAGGATCACTATGGTTGAATTTGCTCCATGAGCAGAACAGAGAATTGGAACAGAGCACATGCACAAATCATTTGAAGTACTTCATCAGCAACAGCTGATTAGTGTAAAGTGCACTGGATCTACAGCCTGAGAACTGCTGCATCAACAACTCGGTTCACTTCAAGGGCAAACTGTTAAATCCATGTTAGTGACAGTAATGATAAACATTGTGAATGAGCACGTGCAAGGTTTTATTTATTGCTTCATGAACTTTTATTTATATAAGAATGCACTGCAGCAGAATAAAATCTCAGTGTTTGAATAAAAGATCAAGAAAGCAGCAGTTTTCTCGTACCCGTGGCCAAAGGGTGAAATGAAATAGAGGCAGCAGTGGACGCGGTTGTCCTGGATGTTCTTGCGGTTGAGGCCGCTCTCGTCCCTGAAGTACTGCTCAAACTGCTGGTCGATGTAGTCAGCCACCGACTTCCAGCTACAACACAAACACACAAGGACGTTCAGACTGTCGGGGGACGCAGAGCCCACACAGTTCAGCTGCAGCGCGTGACTTGATGCCCACAGCAGAGCTGACGTTTCAGCTTTCATTTAGCCTGAGGGTGATTTATGTCCTAAAGATGTTAAAATGTACCATTCAGTGTTGTTTACAGCGTCACCAAATCCAGGTGTGTCTACGATGGTGAGTTTAAGCTTCACACCTTTCTCCTCTATATCCACAGTGTGTTTGGTGATTTCAACTGTTTGTGTGATTCGCTCTGGAAAAACACAAACAGGCCTCAATAAAAACAAAACACTACAACCAAACTCGAGCAGTTCAAGGAGGTGTTTCCCTCACCTTCAGCGTTGAGCAGCTTCCTATCTTTGTAGAGGTCTGTGAGAAACAGGCTGTTGACCAGGGTGGACTTTCCCAGGCCAGACTCACCTTCAAACAAAGAACAACAAAGAGGAAAACCAGCGAGGCTTAAAACCCTGTGATTAGCTCTCTCTCTGCTGAAAAAAGGCAGGCTTAGGATCAAATGTCCAGAAATGTGCAAACAAGGACTTACCTGCCACCATGAGCGTGAAGTCAAATCCTTTCTTGACAGATTTACGATGAACCTGGTTTGGTAGCGTTGCGAAGCCCACATATTCCTTATCCTGGTCCTAAAAGCAAACACAGATACCGCCCGTCAGGTCATGTGTTTTCTTTTAGGATTACATAAAAAAAAACATTTCAAATGATTTAAATCCCACAGAGATTTGATTCAAGATCAATTCAGCAGAACAACAAGATCAAAAAGAAACTGTGTTCCTCAATTCAGAAACAAAATTATCTATTTTTCCAACCGCAGGAAACAAGTTGTGGACTTCAGTACCACTGTGACCCAGCTGTATGAAGAGCATCAGTCCAAACTATGTCAAAGCCTTGAAGGTAGAAGCAAACACAGCCGTTTCATCCTCTCTGGGTCTTTTCCACTAGTTTTACCTCGTTGTTGTTGTAAGGGTCAAACAGAGCCCAGGGGCTCCTCGGTCTGGACGGACTGACAGGGGACGGCAGCTCAAACTCCACACTTCTGCTCTGAGGAACGCTGCTGTCTGAACCTGAATCTGCCTGGGCCCGACCCGCCTCAGGGGGCCGCAGGTGAGACGGGGTGAGGGGGCGGTCGGGGACCTTGGTCTCTCTGGTTGCATCACCATGCTGATGGTTGTGAACTTCATGATGAGGGGGGTCGAGCATTATGTTCTCCACTTCAGAGTCGTCTGAATGTCCCGAATGCTAAAAACGCCAAAATCAGAGGAAGGAGGAGGCACAGCAGAGGATGAGGAGGAAAGTGAAAAACACAGAGCAAAAGAATAAACCAGGAGGACGGAGTGGAGGTGGAGGAGCGTCAGCTGTACCTGAGCAGCGTTATGGTTCATGCTGTGATTAGGAGAGGACGGGCAGGAGTCCTGCTCCTCTGACGAAGAGGAAGACTCGTGGTCACTGTCCTCCATTGCTACTGGGGCTACACTGCACTCCGTTATCTCCAGTCAGGAAGGAGCACACATGGAGGGGCCAGAGAGAGCGAGGTGGAGGAGAAAAAAAGACCCCCACAGACAGCAAAGGGTCATTTAGGTGCACAAGGTTCAAGAGGAAGGATCAGGAGGAAGGAATGTGTCCAGATCAGACAGAACCAAAGATGAAAAAAGATTAAAGTAAAGAAGCATCGTATGACGGCACAGATAAATTAAATAATTAAACTATAAGATGACTGAGGGGTACAAAACAGAGCAGATGATACTGTTGGGCTGCTTGATCATTTCTGCAGCTTTGTCCCAGTTAGTCTTTGAACAGAACCACAAACCCAGCAGCGTCAGTGGCTGCAGATACAGTCAGGTCCAGCTGCACGTGCGCAACACTAAAAGTCACACATTATTAAAGAAAACTATAAAAAAACAATGCACACAAACGTCACTTAATGTCAAGACAGTTATTTTACTTTATGACACAAATGCTTCTTGCAGCTACTAAAAGTTAATAAAATGTTACAATTTAGTTCCACCACATATTGAATCTTGGAAGTGAAAGTGAAACTTAAGTTTTCACATTTGTCCTCCTTTTAAAGTCCAAAGATTAAATTACAGAGATCTGCAGCTGTAGAGGACTGACCCTGTTTTCTGTATGACCCTGAGATCAACGTCCCACCAATCACTGCAGCCACACAGAAAGACAACTCTGCAGTTAAATTATAGCTTTTGATGGTTTAAGAAAATAAATAAATAAAAAGAAACACCGTTTAGTTTCACGAGTTATTACAAAAGCAACACTAACCCACACACCAGCTGAACCTCAGAGACAAATATGATTAAAAAAAGTTTCTGTTTCATCCATGCATGCAGAGGTTTACCTAATGTCTCCAGCTGTTTTACCTTTTATCAGAGTTAAGCTTCTTCTGTAGCGTTACCGACTGCTCTTCATAGACTCCAGCAAGCAGGAGAGATGGGAGCACAGCAGCGCCAGCATTTATACACCCCCGCCCGGCACAGAGGACGCAATGTCCTTCAGCTCCATCGATGAGCTTCAGCTCAGCGCCCCGGGAAACTGATCAACAGCATTGATGAGCCTCATGTCCCTGTTCACAGGCCGCACACTGAAAACACCACCGGAAACTGAATCTACAGAGCCCTCTGCCAAGCTTTTGCTTGTTTAAGCAGACAAAAAGCGACACAGATACGGACGCTTGTTTTTGCATGTCATTCACAGCTGCTCAGACTCTCACTGCCTTTGATGAGCTCAAGTCAAGTCATATTTATTTTATTTATCATCAGCATCATGGAAAACTGCACATATGTCCAGGTTGGACCAAAACAACCAAAACAAGCTCCGTCATATGGAGGACGGAATGTGACTAAATTAAATAAATTAAATACACAATTAAATTATTAAATTCACAATTAAATGACTTATATTATGTTTTTATTTATTTAATTTAGTCACATTCCGTCCTCAAACGTATGGTGACAAAATTAAATAAACAAATAAATCATGAAACAAGTCATTTAATTGTGTATTTAATAATTTAATTGTGTATTTAATGATGTATTTAACAATTAAATGATACATTTCATTATTATGTATTTATTTAATTTAGTCACATTCCGTCCTCCATACCATCATGTCTCCACATCTGATGGTATTAGTTTAAAACTCTGGCATGAAAGGTAATGATAAAAATATGCAATAATGATAATATTAATGGCAATAAGACAAAGCTTTTTGCTTGTAAATTGTTCATAAATTCAAGAACTTCTCTTCACAAACCATGTTAAGAACGTCAGAGATTTTCTAAGCAATGTTCACTGCCTGGCCAAAAAGACAAGTCTCCCCCTGGATTTAACTAAGCAAATAGGTACGAGCCTCCTGTTGGATAATCACTGCATGGACGATTATCTTTCAGCTGGCAACAAGTTATTTAACCCAACTGCTGCAATGAGTTGCTTCTCATTTCTTAAACAACCATGTTGAAAGACACATCACGTGGTCGTGGAAAAGATGTCAGTCTGTTTGAGAAGGGTCACATCATTGGCATCAAGCAGAGAAAACATCTAAGTAGAAACAACTAAAATTGGGTTAAGAACTGTCCAACGCATTATTAAAAACTGGAAGGATAGTGGAGACCCATCGTCTTTGAGGAAGAAATGCGTCCGGAAAAAAATGTGGCCTACTCTACAAGCCTGTGGGGGCAGTCTATGATCTGGGGTCACTGCAGTTGGTCAGGTCCAGGTTCAGCAACAGTGTGTGCTCAAAGAATGAGGTCAGATGATTATCTGAACATCCTGGATGACCAGGTTATTCCATCAATGGATTTTTTTTTTCTTCCCTGATGGCACAGGCATATTCCAAGATGACAAAGCCACGATTCATCAGGCTTGAACTGTGAAAGAGTGGTTCTGGGAGCACGAGACATCATTTCACACATGGATCGCCCACCAGAGTCCAGATCTTAACCCCACTGAGAATCTTTGGGATGTGTTGGAGAAGGTCAGAATCTGCCATCATCAATGTAAAGTCTTGGTGAAAAATTAATGCAACACTGGATGGAAATAGATCTTGTGACATTGCAGAAGCTTATTGAAACAATGCCACAGTGAACGCATGATGTAATGAAAGCTAAAGGCGGTCCAACGAAATATTGGTGTGACCTTTTCTTTGGTGGCGACTTTTTTTGTTGGCCAGGCAGTGTAATTTCAGCTTTTAACAACTTTACAATGTGTGCTGTTCAGCCGAGTCTGAATTCATTTGACCTTCACGGGTAGATAATTAGATAATAAACGGTATTAATTTTCTTGAAGAGTACTTTCATTTGAACACGAGCCGACTTCAGAGCTCCTTCGAGCTGCACCAACGATCAGGTGTCATCACCTGTAAAATCCAAAGACGAGGCAGGCGTCGCCGGGTTCAGGCAGTGGATTTTATTTCCTTTAAGCCCTAAAAGCACCTTTATCAGAACAACCAAGTCAGAACAAGAAGATGGTACGTTTTTCTCTCCCCTACACACCTGACTAGAATATCAGCACAAACAGTTCTGATTAGAACTTAAAATAGTTTAAGAAAATTACTCTACAGAATTTTTCTTTTCCAAAACAGGTGCAATATTTCTTATTTATCATTAATAAAAAATTGCTATTACCTATTACTTTTATTAAAATAACCAGTTAGACTCAAGCTAAAGAAAAAAAAAACAGTAAAACAGATTAAAAGAACGAGCAAACACCACAGGTCAAAAACAAAAGATAAATCAGAGTAGGGCCTGTTTGGTTTCATATTTGTAGTCTCATTTTCGCATTAGAAAAAAACATATAGTTATAAATAAAAAAAAGGTTAAACTAAAACAATCTACTAAGATATTTATCATGTAACTCATCTATCATGTTCTTGCGTTTCTCACCCAGTCTCATTTCCACAAAGATGCAGGTGGAAATATGAGCTCAACCCCCAATAATCACAGATTATCATAATAAAGGCCAAGTAATTTAAAACACACTAAATAAAGTCATGTTTAGGAGTCTAACAAATATACTTGTCATGAGCTGAGCTGTTCACAGCAGAAAGAGTGATCATTTACAGTCCTGAGCCAGAAGAAAAGCAGAAGTTAGGGCGCTGCGAGTCCAACACGACTAACTGGTGAAACAATGCATCGTTCTAACTTTGTTGATCTGTACAAACACAGAAAACAAACAGCTAGATTAAAAGTTTGAAACTTCTGGCCAACTGGTCTGACTGATCTAAGACTGAAATGAAATGTCTCTCCCTTTACATCTCTAAGGTTTAAAAGGAATAAAACAAACTTCTGTAAATAAACCAGTGGACTCAAACAGAGTTGGTTCATACCAAGTCTTTATTGTTGATGATGTAATGTGACGTTTCACAAAAATACACCAGAAACTTGAGATCAGGTGAACCCCTAATGTAAAACAGATCAGGCCTGACTGTTAAAGATCTGAAGAACTCTGAAGCCTCTTCATTCATGTTTTTTTAAACAGCGAGTCAGTTGAAGTGCATTTGGACTTAAATACTTCCTGACATTACATTAAAACATTTTAAAGACTTCCTCACATTATCTATATCATTTTTCTGCATTTTCTACAGAGCCAAATAAATGAGAGAAAATTAATCCATGGTA